ATCATCAGTTGCCGGGCAGATTCCAGCCCACCAGGTAGAAACCCCTCACCCAGGTAGCTGATGAGAGTCACGTAGGCAGAGGGAGGAGGTTTCCCCCCTCCCTCAGGAATGCAGCCAGCTCAAGTTACCTAAAAAGATAGGCTGAGGTGTGTCTCCTCTGCTGGGCCCATCCTAATCAAATGGTCACAGCTCAGAGATTTTAATCACATTGTCAGAGGGCAGAAATTCTGGGGAGAAACCAAGGTGGCTTTCTGCCACATATAGGAATATTAAAAAAAAATCTATTCAGATCAGGTAATATACTGTTAAAAGCATGACTAAGATGGTCACAAATTTAAATGCACAGGTAATTCTAGAATCAATCCCATCTTAACTTGAACTTGGCCTTTTGTGTAAAGTATATATGTGATATTCTACAAGGCTTTCACTTATTGTGGCTTGATAGGCATCTGTAGTAGAATATGGAATGAGGCATCAAAACACCTTGCAGTTCCTAAATGTGCTCTACTTTCTAGGTTGGAAAACTGTGCCTATAAAGGATACTGGCTGAGAGACTGACAAGCTTTTGAACTGGTATCTGCCCTAGGAGAGAAGGAAGGGAAACCATAATGTACAAGGGGTGGTCTGTACACTATATTTAACTCCTCTGAAAGGGACATTTCTATAACCTTGTAATAGACAAACAAAGGGGCAAGGGGCCATCAGGCCAAATGCAACATTGTATTGTTCCTTCTCATTCAGGCCTGACTAGGTCTTACTGTCATCAGCCCAAGGCAGAATCTATTCAATCTAGGCATCTTCCTCTAGGCTGCACAGGTTGAACCGATAACCAACTGAACTGTTGTTCAGTTTTCAACTGGAGAAGGCAGGGGAGGCTGGCACTGACCTACGCCAGCAGACAGGAGATGCTAGTGCACGTCTCCCAACCTGCTGGCCATTGCCAGCCCAGCCAAGTATCTCCAGCCCCCTGTTGTTCTCTAACAGAGGGTTAAGGAGTACCCTGTCCAGGTGCTGGCCCACCTTGAGGAAGACTCCCCTTCAGGTTTCCCCCAGCCTGTGTTCCCCAGCCCAGGCAGCCCTGGGGAGCTGAGGAGTATCCCCCCTCTTCTCCTTTCCAGCTAGTGAATGCTTCAGGCACTGCCACAGGAGGGAGGGAGAAGAAGTCCTCCTGGACTCGCAGCAGCTGAGGCAAAACCAACTGCAGAGGAGCAGGAGAATTTCCCTCTGCTTCCTGAGGTTGCCTGAGACTTGCATGGGCTAAGGCAAGCAGCTCTGGGGTTTGGGACGGGAGGGATTCTCCTCAGTTTCCTGGGACTTCCCAGGTTGGGTGACCCTGGGCTGAGGTAGGGGGGATCCCTCCAAGGAAGGGGCTCCCTGGTGCCCCTATGCTGGGCTGCATGGGTAGACACACAGCCAGGAGGATGACTTCCTCCTCCCTCTTGTGACAGCAGCCAAAGCAATCAATAGCTGGGAAGGGAGAGAGGGGAGGGCTGCTGAGGGTGAAAAAGTCCCCACCACAGGAGTTTTTCCTTCCCCTACTTGCTGTGTAGAACTTGGCTACAAGGATCTGGGGGTCTGTTCCCTTGTCCTTGCCCCCCCCCCCCCACATCCCTATGGGATGAGAGATGCAGGCAGGAAGCAGACTAAGGAGCAGAGGGGCAAGGTAGTCCCTACTCCACTGGAGCAGACAGCATAGCCCATGGCTACGAAGAATCCTGGAATGTTGGGGGACTGTGAGTTAACTTGAACCAGGATGGGATCAGGGACAGAAGTTCTATAACTGATTTAGGTTAAACCAGTTTAAGTCCGATATTACATCCAACCAGGTTTATTTTAAACCAGTTTTGGCCATTTTTAAAGCCGTATATATGCATTGAACTCCTGTTCTGTTATAGGTTTAAACCAGTTTCCAATCACTTAAATTGGTTTATGTGTAACTTCTGCCCCTAGCCTGTATGAGGATATGGACTTATCAGGAATTTGAAAGTACTGCTAATTTCTATGTTTTTAAGAAATGTATATGTAGACACCTTTTAGGTCATCATGCTTTCATTTTTTTAAAGCAAAGAAAACATACTGTAAATTCAAATAACTGCTTTATTCATATCATCAATTTGTTAATGTCCTTATTGTCAACTAAATACAAAGGCAGCTCCTGAAATTGCCCTATGAATATGGAAATGAAGCATTTTAATTAACTGGTAATAGAAACAAAAATCAAATAGTTTCAGGGAACTGTAAAAAAATACTACATGGACAGATTTAAAAAATTTAGCATCTCTTTAGAGTAAAAAAACATAATAGGAGTTACTTGGCCCTCAACTATATTTATGGTAACAAGTACCAGATTCAGGCTACAGATCACTGTTTCCTTCTGCCAAATTGTATTCCTTTTTATAACTGTTAAAAGACAACAGTTTCTTCCCCAAAGAACTTTTAAAAGATATATCCAAAATGGGTGTGAAAGGTTGAATTAACTTTCTATAAATTCATTTGATGTAACTTATAAAATATGGGCACAATATTTAACCTACCCATAATGCCGTATCTTCCCTTGCAAAAGGAATGGAGCAGAAAGGTCTAGGAGTTCAAGATCTTCTTGCATGGATCTCACAGGAATAACACCTTTAAATCTTCTTGTAAGTTTCAGAATTTCTTTTTGTGTCCCTCCTTTAACAATAAACAAACAACAATTTATCAACTCAGAGTTCCCCAAAATCTTGATACCTGGGGCACATTATTTTCTGGATTAAAAATAGCAACGTACTTCATTCTTACACTTGAGAGAGAGAGAGAGAGTGAGAGTGTGTAAAATATGTATGCATGCATTCTTTTCCGTAAAACAACTAACATATTCCATTCTCCTGACAGAGAATTGTACTAGTACTGAAATTGAACTGTTAAAAAAATGACACCACAACATCTTTCTTTAAGCAAATGATTAGTATTTATACTAGTAGTTTCAACCTTTTAGTCTCAAGGCACTCCCCCCCATAACTTTTCTGAATTTTGCAGCACCCTTGCTGAAAATTGCTAAGTTTAGATCTAAAAGATGTAAATTCAGATAAGATATGAAGGGGGCTTTGAGGCTAAAAAGAAATGAGAATCACTGATCTAGTCCTTGCCACTTAAGAGCAGCAGGGGCAGGACCTCACTCTGCTATGCCTTGCTCTTTCCACTGCCTGCCCCCTCTTGACTCTCAGACTGTACCTCAGAGAACAAGGCTCCTTCAGGGTCTCACATGCTGGTGACCACCTCTGTGGCCCCTCTTGCTAGCCTCGGGAGGGTGAGAAGATTGGAGGTTATAAGCCAGGCTGCAAATCACAGCTCCATCTGTGAGCCTGTCCACCCACTTGCATAAGAGCATACTGCTGGGAGTATGGGTAGTTGGAAGGTGGCAGCATAGTGGCTGCCTGAGGGAAGGGAAGGCAGCAGCAGTGGTGGCAGTCCCCAGAGGAAGTCATAGGCACTGATGGAGTAGTTGGGTCTGACACAGGGTGCTGGACGTAAGAGAAGAGCATTTACCTCCTCACACAGGGGGATCTCACAGTATTTCTGTTGCTTTTGCTGCACGCTATTGTACCACAGCACACCCTTTAAGAATCACTATTAACTGTATACACATAATGCTAATTAAATAATTCAACTCCCTTGGACTGATGGATATCAGTTTCAGGACCTGTAACAAATAACTGACCATGATCCAATGTTAAAAAGGACTCCTAAATTGACTGTACCGTTGAAATTATGATGTAGTCATTATGGTCTAGGAATAACTGACTGTACATATTGATTGTACAAAAATGTGAATAGCTATATAAAGCTGCAAATGCAACGTGTTACTGCATGCGGAAATCAGATGTTTAAACAACCACATATTCAATAGAGGCAAAATTAAATGTGCAATTTGCCATGACACATTTAAAAAATATTTTATGGTAGTAAATGACAATTAACAAATTAGCATAGCTTAGAATAATTTAACTCTTGGGAAATGCCTGCAGTTGCCCTGTGCTGCTCTCAAGACCATTGCCAAAACCTAAGCCCTAACCACTTGCTTCCCCAAAATCACAATACAAGCAGTGAGGTTGCTTCAGGTGTCAATCTCATCTGCTTCTGGGAGGGATAAGATGAATGGTGCATGACCAGTCCATGGGCTGGATGACCTGGCTAGACAAAGCTTTGGCTAGGATGATTTTGTTGGGGATGGTCCTACTTTGGGGAGGGAGTTGGACTAGATGATCTCCTGAGGTCCCTTCCAACCCTCATTTTCTATGATTCTATGATTTCTATGAATGGTGTGTGGCTGGCCCCACATGCTAGACTATGCATGTGGATCCTCCCATGTTGGATTCAGTGCATGTGACATCTGCTAAAGCCATCTATAACCCATCACTAAAAGGCCCAGCTTCCCACGGGCTTGGCTGCTACCATCAGAACAAGTGAGACCCATGGTGCTGGGGCCATGGTGCTGCTGGGGCTCCAGAATTACTGCTTTCACCTGGGTGCTTGGCCCCCAAGCCAGGAAAAGCCACAGCGTTGGAGCCCCAGTAGCACTATGGCTTCTTCCTGCAGCAGGAACAAAATGTCTAGGTGAGAGCTACAGCACTGGAACTCCAGCACTGTGGGAAGTAGCTAAGCACCATGGCTTGTTCCCATGGCTGCAACTAAGCACCCAGGACAGACCTGCAGCCTTGGTCAGGGACCTTCCCCTGGTGGCAGCCAAGCACTTGTGAGCCTAGGCTTCTTCTGATGGTAGTGCTGGGGTACTTCAGCACCATACGTCTCACCCAGGTGCTTGACTACCCCCAGGGGAAGGTCCCCTGTCAAGGCCATAAACTGGATAATCTAGATATGTGGGCTGGATCTGGCCTGCAGACCATATGTTTGACACTAATGCTTTGGGGTAATCCAATGCTGCTACACTGGAGATCTGTCTGTAGTGTGCTGGAGAGCAGTGGCAGTTAGTGCCCTGGAAGTGTCCTCATCACTTGTCTCAGTTCTCTGTTTGGAGCATGCAAGCAAGAGCAGCTAGGCAGGGCTTATTTTCTGGAAAGCTGCAAGAGCAGCATGCAGCCACATAACTACTATGGAATGTAGCTACAGTGAAACTGCTGTGACCACTAAAATGATTTTTTTTTTTCACATGGAAGCAACTTGCCACTGTAGTTCTTCAATGGCAAAAAAATTAGGTAGCAATTTGAAGGAAAGTGCTGGCTAAAAGCATCAGAACTGAAGCAAGGAGAAAAATGAAACAGTGTAATAAGTAGGATGCAATTTTAAATACTGCTTTCATGGGATTTTATAAGACTTTACTGGAAATTAATGTCTTATGTTATTGGAAAAGCTGGGATTTTTCTGCAATTATGCAGGACCAGTTTGATAAATTTCTCTCTATATTTACTATAATCGCTCTGTAATTGCTGCTTTAAATACACACCTAATAACCAACACCTTTGGCCAAAACAAGTCACTAAATACCTGCTTCTTAAATCTTGAAACAACTGCAACCCAGACCAGAAGACGACCCAATTCTTAAAAGAGATTTTTCCAGAACCACCCATCCTAGCTTTTAAACAGGCATTGAACCTTATCACCAGAAGCAAACTTCCTATGGCCCCAAGCACACCAAATGTATCCAGATCATGCCAACACAAGAAAAGTAAAACCTGCCAACACATTTCTACTACTCCCACAACAGAACCATCACCACCATCACCATTCCTGGATCTTATGTCTGGATCTCCAGAAATGTAATAGATCTCACCCAGTGCAGTGAATGTTGTCATGGAAACTATGTAGGAGAAACCAAACAACTGAGTACCAAAACGAATGCACACTGAAAATCTATCAAAGACAAAAGTACCCAATTACTGTGGGTGCACATTTCTCACAAGACAACCACTCTCTCCGATCTCTCAGTTCTAATCCCCAAAGGGAATTTACAAAATACCTTTTGCAGATGAGCCTACGAACTTCACTTCATAAATCTACTGGATACAAAAAATCATGGCCTACATACAGACATTGAATTTATGACACATTATAAACTACCTGCCATCTGATAACTCCAGGTAACTTCTCTACATTTTATCACTGGTCCACATTCTCTTTTGTTTTTCCCACTCCACCTGCCTGTCTCTCATTCATTAACTCCTACCTCCTCTGATCTTCCCTGCCACACATCTGCATTTTCATAAACCTGTATTTTGCATATTAGCTTAAGCTTCTATTTGACCATAGAGAGTAGACAAACACCAGCAGATTCTCCCTATGTCTGAAGAAGGGCGCCTGTGTTTGAAAGCTTGCAAAGAACAATTTTTCCAACTATTCAGTTGGTGTAATAAAAGATATCACTTTTGCCCAAATAATCTTATCTGCCTATCTCCTTAACTCATGAACAGATAACAGGGAAGAAACATAGCAATACTTTTTGCAATGTAGTTGTTTTCTACAAAAATGAGTGTGCTGTTTAATGTTAAATTTTAATAAAATGTATGATCATAAAAAGCATTATAAGGTGCTCTCTGATTCATGCACATTTTAGATTTGTAGTTTACTATTTGTGGTAATGATTAGAAAAGTCAACACACCCAATGTTTCCATGTGCTAGGTGATGTGCAAATTGAACAAGAGACCATTTCTTTTCATTTACATTTTCAGTCTAAGCAGACAAAAGGTTGGGAGGAGAAAGTAGTACAGAGATGTCCAATAGCTTAGCCGAAAAGCACACAGGTTAGTTAAAGAACCGAGAACAGAGCACACGTCCACCAAGCCTCAATCCGGCACCTCTCAAGCCATACTTGAAATGTTACAACCATTCAAAGAATTTAAATAAGTATAAAACACATGCAGCTTTACCAATGGAACCACTGGGATAATTTAAGATAATTCATAAGATAAAGTTTCATTTAGACAGTGTTTTCAGTTTACTTATAAATCAACATTGAAGTCTATAAGATTAAACAATAAATGTCACTGAAATTAATTATAGCGAGTATACTGTATGAATACTGAAGCCAATGATGAATGGTACATATTAATACGTTCGTCACTAATGTGATGACATCTTAGTTTTAACCTTTATCCCAAATTAGAACTAACTTATGTTCAAGGAAATTAAAAAAAACGCTAACAGAAAAACCTCTTTCTTGTGCCCATATTTCATCTCAGCTGTCCAGTCAAGGCCAAACAACTTCTATGCCAGCAGCATGGTTCAGTATCTGGTTTATGGAGAGGAGAGGGTCTTGTACTATACTAAAGTAACCTACTTATGCTTAAAAAAAATAAAGTAATATATAGATCTCCTTAGTTAGATGGAGTTGCCATGTTGTGTTTTACCTCTTTAGGCAGTGCACATGTGGAGACGGTCAGGGAGGATGCTCAGGAGGCTGGGAAAAATGCCTTTTGGAACTTGTACCAACAAACAATATGGAAGTAAAACAAACAAACAAACAAAACCCAATAAATTGTAGAAAAATCCCAGGACTGTGGAAGAGAAATAAATAGGCTAGAAGAAGCCCACTGGAACGTCTGTTTAGTAATACGGGAATAAATTTACAATTCTGTCCTTCATTCCAACTGATGTACTCAATATGGTGTCATATCCAGCTGCAGAAGCTTTGGTATCTATGCAAAGCATCTGTAGCAAAAATGATGAGGTTTGGTTTTAGGAAAAAAATGCAGTTGCAAAAATGGGAAGGGGGTCCTGTTACAGGGAAGAAAGTTATATTAATAGGTAATAAAAATGCATTTGGAACGTGCTACAAAGGCTGCAATTAAAATGAGTCAAATAATAAGCAGAGAGGAAAATGGAAGGAGCTTTGCTATTAACCCTCATGATTGCTTAACTAACCCTTGCTTTTTCACACAAAGGCACTAGGACAATGTGATCCTGCTTGAAATTCAGAAAATGAGGATATGCAACATATTCATATTCTTCTTTAAATTGCTTTGTTTAAAGTTAGATGGCTATTTTTCTCTCTAAAAAGCATTCTGTTAAAAATGAATATTTCCTGAACTATATTTATGTGAAACAACACTGACATCCAGAGGCTGACAATGCTAAAAGTAGGCTTGCATTCTCAGAAGTACGCCAAACCTTCTACTTATTTAGTATGTACTGAAGATCTTTTGAAAGATAAAAATCAGAACTAAACCTATCTATGAGCTTGTCTAGGAAACGGCACATTCATTATAAGCTTTTTGGTTTGACATGAGAATATACAAAAGTATCTAGATCCTTTCTGGATTACAGAAATTGTAACCCACTCTTAGCATTTTGTGTAATCACATAGGTGAACCAGTCAGCTAGCTAAAACTAAGAGTTCCAAAGGAATGTATCATTAATCAGTCTGTCCATAGTTTTTAATTCTCATTCTAGAATGTTTGTTTTTAATTTGGAGAGATACTTAAGTCCTGAACACCTAGTGGGAAGGGACACTGTGGCTCCCTCCAGAAGTTACATTTTTTGGGGAATATATGAAAATTTTCCCAAGGCAAAAAAAATGACCGAGCCGCCAGAATACCAGTGGATCCATAACAAAAGCTGCCGATTCTGTCATGCTGGGACAAACTTAATGTCTAGCCAGGTCTTCTACTCTCCATAATAACACAATGCTCTGCTCTATCTCCTCATCTTCCAGTGGGAAGGGAAGTCATTGGTGACCTGACAGCGTGAAGAATTGCAAGTTGCCAGAGATGTTTGGGGGCTGCACTATCCCTGTCGCCACCCAGTGGTGAGAGCTGCTAAGGTGGGGACTGCCCGGTCAGCAAAAGCTGCTATCTCCAATTCCAGACAGTTTGAATGCCAAAAACTTTAAAAACCTTCCAAACTGCCTGCACAGTGCATACCCTTTAAAGCTGAGGGCTCCTGAGCAGCCTGGCAATGGCAAGAGGCTGCCTAATGTTGGGTTGCTCATGCACCTGAAGGTCCTGACACTTGGGGAAGTGCCTGTGGCTACTCAAGAACAGCCTCAATCAAGTGGCAAGGGCAAAGGGACTCCCTGAAAGTGGCAAGAGAGGCTGTGTTCCCTACTCTCTCCTGCCACTGCCTGCAGGAAGTCCCTTCACCCTTGCCAGTGCAAATGGCAGTGGCAGGGCTGGCATACCCCAGATCAACCTGTCACTGAAGGCGGCAACTTCACCCCTGCCACACAATGACAAGGGTGATAGGGCTCTGTGCAGGTAGCAGCAGGGATTAATTGAGACAGAGCACTACACAAATAACATGGGGTGGGGTATGGTATCCAAAGAGGATACAACTGTAATTAAATGATCTTACCTTCTACCATTATCAAACAATTTCCTGGCTCTTGAACCATTTCATTGTGCTTCACAAAATGAACAGCTATTGTTCTTTGTTTTGGATGTTCTGTATTCCACACAGCAGAATCGTACCACAGCTTATTGTGCAATTCTGGATTTGGAAGTGTAGCTGCAGAGTCTTGTAAAATAAAGTCAAAGTCATCTCCATCTGGAACTTCTTGCCTAAAACCATTTGAAGAAGGAATAATTAAATAATAGCAGCTCCTGTGTCTAATAAAGTATGGTATGCAGTTCTTCAAAAATAATGAATTATAATAAAAGTACATGTGATACCTGAAAATGCACTTTCGTGCATGTTGTTATTTGACTAAACCTAATCTGATGACATGCTACAGCAATTTCAGGGTTTGATGTTACACAGGCATGCGTGGAGTATTAGGCACTTTATGTACAATTCAGTCCTGTGTTAAAGTGCCTGATCTTGCATTTTTAGCAGGCTAAGGCCTAATGCTTTCATCCAGGCTCATGTAAATAACAAGGACTCCTTCTGACATCTCTAGGTTTTCTATCAAGCTTTAAGAAGGCTGACAGCTATAAAATGGTATTTAGAGGTTTGGTTTTGGCAATTGGCTTGTATGTAAAATAGAAATGCATTAGAACAATGGTCCAGGGGAATGGCAAGTGTTAAATGGTTTCAAAACGCCTGTTCGTGACTGTGACAGGGGCACTTTCCTGAGGCTGGGTCTCATGTCAGCCTGCCCACCTGTCGTTATGGTGTAATCCATCCGGTCTCACCTGCCACAACTTTGCTGTTCCTACAAGCAACTGGTAAATGTGGGAGACTATCTATTATATGCCCCGATATCAGGGGGTGGCATCTGCAGCTCCAAACCGTCCCTACACCGCCACCCATGCCTTGAAGATGGCATCCAGATTACTATTACTCTCAGTCTGAGACTGGAGCAAACCAAGTCCAAAGTTGGGCTCCACACACACACACACATTCACACCACCTCCCTTCTCACAGAAGGCCTCTTCCACTCTGCCCCTCTCTCACCTGCGCCTCTGGCTTACTGCCTGTTAACAGGCCACACTCCACTCCCCTGTTCCCCCTTGGGCAATCAGGCTTCGCTGCTTCCATACTGGCTTCGCTATGCAGGACCTTCAGTTCCCACGAGTTCCCCTACTCTATGTGGTCCGGCCTTATGCCAAACTCTTGGCTAATTCTGCCCCAAACCCCTCACCGGGCACAGGGCTGGCCTTTGCGCTGTCCTTCAAGCTTACTTATTTGGCCCTACTCAGTGCACCCCTTGGGCTATCTTTCACACCTATTCCAACTTCAGCTCTACTCAGCCCCCTCATATGCACAGCCCTTCAGGCCTACTTGAATTTCAGCCCTACTCTGTGCGGAGCCTCCCAAGGCTTTCAATACTACCCCCTCTGGGGTCTCCGTGTGGAGCCTCCCATCCCTGCTGGTCTCAGGTGGCACTCTGCTTGCCGTGCCTGGCCCCACTGCTCTCGCTGCCCAGGGTCTTACACCCCCCTCATGGGCTCAGGTGGCCACAGCTGTACTTGGCCCCACTACTGCCTCCAAAGCCTACCCGAAGATGGGGGCTGGGGTTAAGGTGCCCCCTCCTTGCCTTTCACCAGGGAGGCAACTGGCCTGGCATTTCCTGGGGACTCCTGCACCACCAGGAGCCACACCAGGTCATCCTTCCCTGGAAAGGTGCCTTTTTAGGTCATGCCCAGGACCAGAAGCCTCCAAATCATCCCTATAAGCTCTTGCCCTTACCTCCAAGATGCATCATACAGCATTTCAGCCAGGCAACATTTCTGCCTGGCCTGCCAGCAGCCAACTGCTCTGTTTATTCAGGCAGTCAGTGTCTCAAAATGGCTGCTGCAATCAAGCACCTGCTGGCTGTCTGGCTCAGCCCTTAAAGTGGCAGGCACCAACAGTGCCCTGCCACAGTGACAAAGGCCTACTGTGTTTCCTTCAAGGCCTGCTGTGTCTGAAGTCAATAGACACACAGGCTGGGAAACTGAAGACATGTACCACACTGTTCCATAACATGAATAGTGTACCCAAACAGAGATAAGGGACTCTGCAGCATTAGCACCAGCTCACAGTGCCAAACTCCAGAGCCCTTGGGACTTCCGGCTTTGGTGGATGGAGAATGGTAAGTGCCCAAATTAAGATGTGTGTGCATGTGATGGATTTGTGAAACAAAGAAATATGCTGACAGGATAGTATGGCAACCACAGGAAAACCAAACTATGATGCCCAGGAATAGAGAGTCATCAGAGGAGGAAGAGGAAGAATTTCAGGGCAGCAAAGGATCCCTGAGAGGGGAACCTGAGGCTACCATGGACAGATCACCACCAGCCCATCTCACCCACCCCACTGGGGAGGGGAGAGGGAGGGGCCTTGGCCTTTGACCTCCAGGCTACTGACATCTGACACTCAAGCTTGTATACTGGCCAGATGAATCTTCCCTCTGTTACAGCTCTAGGATGGTAGATATAAAATAGTTTGCATTCGTCTCATCTACTATCACTGTGTATCAATAAAATTCACCTATTATTGAACAGAGAGGTTGTGGTTGGTCTGAGGGTTTGGGTTCATGGAACAAGGTAACTGGGTCATAAATCCAGTGCCAGCAAAGGCCATGCAAATGCATTAGTATTTTACTGTAAAAAAAGACTGCACTTAAATGCTTGAAATTGCAGATTATGTTTATGCACCAAACTATTTTACCTTGCACTCTATCAAAAATAAAACAGCAAGAGCAGAAGCTTGATGCTTGCTTCCCTTGAAAGATTATACCTAAAACTTGCACTTTGTCTCGCATACATTCCATTTCCATTTGTGCCAGAATGAAACCAGCTTGGCATTCCTAACTCAGTACTTCAGAGGGCCTTGTAGGATATCACAACTAATCCATAATGTAACTACTTACATGTAAAGGAACTAGTGGTTTGCTTATAGAATTTTAACAGCAAAAACAACCTCTGTTGCGTGGAAAGCTTTGTTCACTTTAGTAGTATAGAAACTGTGACTGGAAACATTGTAAAATAACTTAGGTTAGAATATCTCATAAAGCACTTACTGAAGGCCGGTCTGACTCGCAGGTAAATCAGCTGAAAAATCTCTACGTCCAGAGCAGATTTTGATGGACACTACAGCATTCAGTATTAATGGAATACTGAATTAATGCCAATGGAAGAGCAGAATAGACATTTATAACCTATTTACTGATTTGTTCATTTGCTATATGTATTTAAAATACATTTTCAGTCATTAGCAAAGTTGTAGACACAACTTCTTGCATATTCTTATGAATAGAGTTAGTCAAGAATGAGCATATCTACTTCCTGGGAAATTCCACGTATGTAACAGAAGTTGGTAGTCTTTGGGTATGACTCTAAGGCTTTTGGCAGATGTTAGACTTAAGATGTGATTAACCTGTTTATCCATGCCATAAAGAGTAATCTGGCCACACATCCAGGCAATTGATGGCATTTCTACAACATGTGAAATATTTTATGGCCAGTTTCCATCGCATCTTGATTGAATGTGTAGTAGGGCAGCCCTGGTTGACAGCTCCCTGCGTGTCAGCAGGCTGACATCTGTGCAGCCCTTCTGTGCTGTATGTGGGGTGTCAAGTTGAGGGGAACTCATTAGCTCGGCTGGCGGTTATGGGGAACAGTGATGCTCCCCAGCATGGTTCTTGCTTTGCCCTGCAGTTTCTCTGGGAGTGGAGGAGCAAGCTGCAGAGCTCCCTGAGACCCAGCAGGGTGACTGCCTTGCCCCGCAGGTGCCAGGAAGCTGCAGAACACGTCTTTTGACATATCCTGGCCATGGGGTCACTGGAATTGGGGAGAAGCTCCCCAATCTTAGAGTCTCTGTGCACCAGGACCTTTAAAAAAACCTCATGTGCAACCGAGCCCTCCACAGTCTTAAACTGGCTGAGATGCAGTCCTGGGGTTGAGACCAACAATCAGTGATTGTTGGTCCCAACTTTGGGACCCCTCTGGAGTCTTGCATTGGGTCCAGCGTAATATTGGGGCTGAGATGAAACATCAGCTGATGGCTGGTCTCAGCTTCCGGGCCACCTTGGTCCATGCTGGGCTTTGGACACCCAGGTTTCAACTTGCCAGTACAGAAGTTGCCCAGGAGCATGATCCCAGGCTTTCCCTGTACAAGTAGTAATGGCACAACCTGCAAAACTACAGGTTCTGCCACACATACAAAGCGTGGTAGGATGCATGTTTGTTGGGGCTGAGGATCAGATCCCATTACACCATGAAATGAACGTGTGCCAGGGGCCTTAGGTATGTCCAGGAGAATGATAAAAAAAATGGTATGGTCCTGAATAAGAAAGCACTTTTCGAAATGTATTATAAACAAAAAAAACCCCTAGAGGAGGTAATATTGTTAATAATGATACAAAAAAAGACAGTAAAATATTCAATAAACATTTCTATTTTGTTTTTGGAAGTAAACAAGATAATGTGTTTTATCATATGAGGTAATAAAGTGCTTTCCAATCCATTTGTAACCAAGAAGAACATTAAACACCATCTGGTACAGACAAATATTTAAAAAGCAGCAGATCTAAATAACTTATACCCAAGAGTACTTAAAGAAACAGAATGTGGCTGAAATTTGGTCCAGTGATGCTCATATTTAATAGATCTATGAATATTGGAGAAATTTCAGAAAACTAAAAGAGTGCAAAAGAGCCAATATTCAAAGAGGGATACGAGATGTAGATAAGTATACATCTGTTAGGCTGACATCAATCCAAGACAAAAGATGGAAGAGCTGTTCCAAGATAAAATTTGTAAATTAGGTACATAATGAATGCCAGTCCATACGGTTTATGGAAAATAAGTCTTCTCAAACAATCACTCTCTTCAGAGACTACAGATTTAATTAATGAAAATAACTGTGTAGAAATGATTTGACTTTTTAAGGTATTCACTTAGTATGAGTATAAATACAAGTTAAACGTATTAAGAACAGCTACCTGACAGATCTAAAAAGTAAACATCAGTAGGAAATTATCTAAGAATGGAAATGGCTAGTGGAATTCTATGCATTTTGGTACTAGGCCCAATGCTAGTCAACATTTTCATCAATGATCCGGAAGCAAACAGAAAATCACTACCCAAAGGCATAACTGGGCAGTTCTATGCTCTGGATGGCAACAGTACAATGG